AAACAATTACAAAACTTCATCCTAATGGGAAAGATAATCCATACCAAATCACGTGACTAGAGAACGAGGTTTCACAATAGTCAAAAAATCGATCATATGATTTCCGAACAAACAGCTTGTATAGAATCAAGAATTAATAACTCGTAGTGAAATTATGGATGATAGAGATTTACAAGACAAACTTCTTGAACTTCAAGATGAGGTTTGTATTAAAATTCAATAATATATTCACATTAAGGATAATTAGTTATTTTTACAGTCATATCAAGGGCATTTAAAACGTAGATATTCAGTACCTATAAATTATCAGGTTCTATTATGTTCTACAAAGTAAAATGCTATTTCGCTAGTTAACAATATAATTTTTCTTTTTCTTAATGTATATATATACATATGAATAAAATAATTGTTCTTTTTTAAATATTTATTATTTAAGGTCATGCGTTTGCGCTTAATACATACATTAAATCGTAACCAATCGATATCAACAGATAATACTCGACTAGATTATGAAGATAGTGAAGATGAAAGTATACTATCATCATCATCGAATAATGAAAATCATCGTTTAAGTTCTTCTGTTGGTATTTATTCAAGTTCAACTAAGGAATCTAATCATTGTCTTCGTCAATCAACACCTTGTTTATTTCAATCAACAAATAATAATAATAATAATAATGCTATAACACAATGTATGAATTCATCGACTTTACTTTTATCTTCTAAATTATCATCATCTACCAATAAAATAAATGTCGAATGAATAACATTGTAGTGCTCATTTTTTTTGCTGTTGTGTAAATAATTTTCTTTCTTTTTTTTATTATTGCAATATATGCTATTGTAATTTTTATTTCCGAAACTAAATGCCGGTTTCATGAGAATAAACAAAAAAAAAAACAAAAAAAACAAATAAAATTCTTTTTTTTTGTTTTTGTTCATATACTTAAAAAAATTATTTCTAATAGTTTATTTTCTATTGTGTAGTTACATTTGTTCTTTTAATAAATAGATTTGAAGAACAATTTGGACAATAGGCATCATTATTGTGTTCCATATAATGTTGATTTCCGATTGGTATAGAACAAAATGTACATACGAAACATTCATTATGAAATGGATGATTATGATAGACTATACCATCATTTGCAATTGCCTATGAAAAAAAATTAAATTATTCTTTGTTTAATTTTTGGAAATTTTTCGAACCCAACAGGCTCTAAGGTTAAGTCTATTGCTCTTTTCTCCTTTCCTTAGAGATAGCCGGTTCGGCAGCAAAAAGTTATTCTATTTGGAAATTTGAGAATGAACTTATCTAATG